CAACTCCGAGAAAGTTATCTCCCAAACAAGTACGTTGGGCCCAATTTTTCAGCCGTTTCAAGTTCACTTTAAAATTCCTCCTTGGAGGGAAAATTTTTTTAGCCAATGCATTATCTAGACTACCTCAGCATAACAGCCAAAGAGACAGGTGGTTGCTCCAGTAATTCCTAAAGCACTACCTCAAGCAGAACCTGGCTCAGTAGCCCTGACCAGAACCCAGTCAAAAATGCAAAGACAAAAACCTACTAATGAACTGCTCCAAAAATTAAATGCTGCCTTGGATTCTGATGAATGGTTCCAAAGTAATAAAAATACACTAACCCACTGACACAGACATTCAATTCCACTATTCTTCTTTTCCTTTCCTTTCCATGGACTGGAAGGGCAGAAGGGAATACTATATTACCTGAGCCCCCAAGACCATAAACTAACCTTCCTTCCTTCCTTCCTCCCTCCCTCCCGTAATATTCTTTGTGCTTCCATTTGTCCCCACATGTATCATCAGCAAGGGATAATAGCCACTGGACTTGATAGTTCTTGGAATTTATTCTGTTGTGTCTTTAATCCTTGCTCCTGTCAGACAGCATACTTTGCAAGCTGCTGGATCAGACTGACATACATTTGTTTCAATTTCTTGTAGTAACAAATCACCGACTACCATGGCTCTTCTCTTATTTCTTAGAAAAGAAAATGTGGTCTCTCTGCTTTTCTTGTCAGAGCCTGCTTCATTTGCAAGAATGAAATATCAAAACAGATTCTGAATTCCAGGCATACAGAATAATTTATCATTTATTTAGAAGGCTAATAGCCACTCCAGTCCACTGATTCTGGAATACAACTCCTTAATAAGTAAGTGGGATTAAAACCAAAAGATAGCCCCCCCAATAATAAAAGCAAAACTACATATTATAATCACATAAAACTGAGAGTCATATTCAGAATAATAATTAAAAAATTAAACATCTGGCTCCCCTCCCCTCCCCCTCTCCCCTGGTGAACCATTTTCTAAAGGCCAGGAAGGGAGATGTTCGCATGACTGACTGAAAAGGCACATTTCCGTGGCCTTTGAAGATGGCAATCCTTAATCAAGGGCCCGTGTAGACACCCTACCCTACTAGAGCTTAACAAGTAGGGAGATGTTACTATGTAATAGAAGGAATAACCTCGAGGAACAGGGGGAAGGGCCTTTAGAACTAGGGAGGGTCTTGTCTGAGACACTTTCTCAGGTTACAGTTCTGGCCTGGACTCAGATTTCTTTTATCGGACTATTGTCTTGGTTGCGGCTCTTCCTCCTGTTCCTCAATGTTATTTCTTCTGCCCATTACATACGAGGAGAAAGTGGGC